TTTTTTCTTGCTTAAAATTACCATAAAAGGAAAATTTTTAACAAAACGGACGCGATCAGGAGAGAGTTTTGATTTTTATCCATGGGTTTTTTTTAATGTACTAAAGAAATAATTGTATTTAATAAAAATATAAATGGAAAATAACTTGAATGAAAAAAGTGCAATATAATACAAACCTCTCCTCTTTTTTTTATCACCTTTCTACTTTGCTTACCGCCTTTTGCTTTTAAATTATTTATAGTGTTTTTTTGTAATCTGATATCAAAATCTTTAAGTTAATTTGCTTCATGACAATTCTGACTCACCAGAAAGTTCATTATCTCAACACAATTAATTCTGATTGATTTGCTTGTAGAACAAGATTAAATTTAGTGATGTATAAGTTACTATAAATATAAAACAAATTTCGAACCTTAAATAATAAACTATTATGTTGCTTGATATTTAATGTACTTGTAATTTTGTTAATGCAATTAATAGAAAAAGAAAAATAAATGTTTCCGAAAAAAATTTGGTTGAGAAAAATTTAACAAGTATTTTAAACAGCCGGATCAATATTGTTTTAAAAATTAGAGGATAAGAATCACTTACAAAATAAAGGTACTCAATATCTAACAAAAAAATTCCACGTGATAGTAAAACTTATAATAACCAATCAAATTTCAAAACATATAATCCGAATCTGACCCGAACTCAACCCGATGATCTTCTGGTTGAGTTCGGGTCGGGTTTGAGTTGATGATCGACCCGACTCAAGCCCGAATTACTATCAAATGAGTCACATCAGGTTCAACCGAACCCGACCCGAACTGACTCATTCGAAACACTATAATAACTCAACTCAACTTTCGTGATTGCTAATAGTTATACTCTTGAAAATAAAATTACAGTACCATGAATCTTTGATATTGTAGTCATTCTTTATAATAACATGTATAAAAACGTTTGCAAAACAAAATAGAATTTGTTTGCCCCCAAGTTTTTAAGACACAATTCATGTTGTTTCTTTTATTAAGCTACTCATAGCCAAAACATTGGAGTAGAAACTGACACAAAATGTCGCCTTAAATGACTAATTGTGCAAGTAAAATTTTTGATAAATATGTTTAAATTTCAAGTAGGTTGCTTTTGTGTATTTTTTGTTTCAATGTTGTTTTTAAATTTACATACATAAACTAAAGAGGATCGAATACCTATCATAACAAGCTCTGTACGACCAGAAATTATTGCGTAAGCAAAATGTTAGACCCGATCAACCCACTTGCGGAAAGTATGGACCTTACCCGTTACATCGCCAATTTAGCCTGGCATGATTCGACACCTGACTCGACCCATTGTATTACCGGACCCGACCAAATTTCAACACTAGATTGTGAACCGGTCAACATTAGTAAGTTGCGGCAACCAATATGCACGTACGTATTACAACCTTGTTAATGTGACACTGTAACAGTAAGTTGAAAGTTATGTAAAAAGTGCCCCTGTTTCTATTATTCTTTTGTTTTTCCAATATGTTCCACCACGTATGTATAATTCTTTTACTTCTTTTCTCGGAATCCATCAGTTTTACACCTCAGGCAAGATATAGCCAAATACAAAATCTAGTTGGCACCAGACTCTATTACGCTGGTGGATTGACCTATGATGGATTAAACTCGACTAAAATAACAAATGACATTTTCTACTTGGACATATCAACGACATTCCAAAATAATTATCCACCATGGGTGTCTTTACCTTTAGGGAATGCACCTGTCGCATTCGTCGCTTCCACTTCGGTTGTTAATCCGTTGGATAATTCTACCATTTATCTAATTGGTGGTTTAATGACAAATCCTAGTACAGGGCAAGTGAATTTTAATACGACAGTATACACATTTAATACCACTAGTGGAAAATGGAACGCATCAGCATTATATGGAAGTACACCACAAAGGCGACAAGAAATGAATGCCGTGGTAGATAATGCGGGAAGAGTATTTATTTTTGGTGGAGTTACAATAAATAATTATACAACAGGCAATGGTTTATTCTATAATGATATTATTATTCTGGACATTTCCACAAATACTTGGGTAAATATACAACCAACTTCTGAATTTCCAATTTCGCGAACCGATTACACGGCGACACTCCTAGAAAATGGAATTATTGTTTATATCAGTGGGAACGAACTTACTGTCAATCAAACATTAGTAACAGTTAGTTTGAACCGAGTAAATATTTCATCCAATTTTATATTAATTTATTTGTTCAACAGTTAAATATTTATTTGCTAATCTCTTTATTGCGATTAGATTCAACTCTATGATACTAAAAATTCAAGCTGGACTTCTGTGGTGAGTAACGTAATAAGACGAATAATAATTTTCAAGACGGAATCTTTAGATTGTGTGCATTTTATGTCTTAGACAATCTCAGGGGATAATCTACAGGGACGTCAACTTCACACCGCCGTACTTGGTATGTATACTATATATATCACAAAGAAAAATAAAAATTTATAATGTAGCTTTTAAATTTTATGATCAATATACTCCATAGCAAAAAACGGGAAAATAATTATATATGGAGGAATCGATAGAGGGTTAACTCCAGTTACTCCAAAAATGGCTGTATTAGACACAAGCATTACACCATACTCTTGGTATGTTCCAACTTCCTCAGTTAACGAGCCTCCACTTTTAGCAGGCCATTCGGCAACTATTTATGGAGATTATATGATCGTTGCATTTGGTAAATAGAAAGAATAATGTTGAATTTATAATGAATTTTCTTACATATTGTACTATCTAATCATTAAATTATACCAATTTAGGGTTTGTCCCAAATGTACAAGGAAATATTACAAATTTCAACAGGGAGCTATATCTTCTTAATATAATGAACTATTCATGGGTTAGTTCATTTACCCCCCCTTCCTCTCCTTCCTCCGTAACTTCTGCGACTTCCTCAATTAAGTCGACAAACACAAGTTCTGGTAACGACTCGAAATTGGTGATTACTTTGACTGTTATATCTGGATTTTTGGGATTAACTGTTATTTGCGGGTTAGTTTATTACTTTATAAAACGCCGAATAATTAAGTATTAATTTCCAGTACATTATAAGATACAAAAAAATGATCGTTTTAATATTATTGCCTTTACTTTTTTTTATATATTTATATTTTGTTTGAACCTGTGAAAAATGAATTTTAATCACTTTAATTTAGGCACCCATACTTTATATTTAAAGAAATCAAATTTATAATTGGCATTTATTTTAGATTTGATATTTTTGGTTGATGTAACAAAAAATAAGTTTTTCAATTGAATTGTTTAATATTTTGGTAGTCAAATATGATGACATCAGAATTAGATGTAAACGCAATACTCAACAAATAAAAGAATAAGCTGATACTGTATTTGATGTTTTTTTTTAATATACAGGGTGGCTCGAAATTTTTGAAATATAATTGTCGCTTTTCAATTGGGAATATCTTTTCCAAGTTAAGAATAAACCATATACAAAATAATGCATTGTAAAGTATTTATTTGTTTTATTGTGTTACCTTCGCATCATCTCCTCCTGCTCCTCTCTATTAATGTTGGATGGTAGTCATGAAATTAGATAAACAGCACAAACCATCTTGCATTTCTAAAAAAAAAATGAACATCCATCCAAAAAAAAATCTATACCTTGACTAAGATTTTTCTTGGAACTATATACTATAATCTCAAAAAACTCAAGAACATTAAAAGCATAGCACATAAAAGGAGATATGTCAACCAACATTTGTTACTATGTAAATATAAAAAAAAATATAGCAATATATATTATAAGAAACTTACAATTTCTGTGTAAAGTTTAGTTACAAAGTTGGATTAATGGGTTTCTCAGACAACTATTAAATACTATTTGAATTCACTTGGATATAAGTATAATATATCAACTGAAATACTAATGCTTACAGAACTCCACAAATAAAAACAAGTAAAATAAGTATAATACTATTGGACAATAGTATAAGAATACAAGACTATTCATTAAATTTGAAAATTTTGCTTGAAGTAAATTTAGTAAAAAAGATAGGATAGAACTTAATTTTTTTAGAAAAATAATAGTAGCGAAAGTCTATATAAAAACATTAGAAAAAATTTGTTAAAAGTAAAAAAATATCCATAATAAATATTGATTTTTGCAAGACAAAAATTTTAAGCATAGAAACATTAGAGCTTATATACTGGCTATCCAATAGTTTAGATATAAATTTTATAGAAAATTTATAAGTAAAGTATTATAAAATAAAAGATAAAAAATTTATAAAATTCTGACAATTTAATACAATTTATAATAAACAAGTAAGGTTCAGTTCTAGTAAAAACTTTAATTAATTTAGAAACTCAATATATATTGAATATAAAATTGTTATATAAAATAAAGATAAATATATTAACTATACATATTTCCTTATTAATATTAAAGAAAATTTGATTGATAATATAATTTTGTATTAAATATAATTTTTAATTATTTATTATATGTTACTTAATAATTTTGTTATAATAAAGTTTTTGAAAAATGCCTGAATTCAATTTTTTTTTTTTGAAAAGAGCAAATGGCTATCACGCTTTATTATATTTATTATACTTTTATTTACTTACAGGGTAAGGTACAATAATCAATAGTACGACATACGTCTCTCTTTGCTAGAAAGAGTTTAACGCAAGGCTCCCATATGGGGCCAGACCCTGTGCTCTTTTAGCACCACCCAAGGAATATAGACAAAAAAAAATTCAAAAATCTATATCAAATTATGAATGGTATCCAGCTACTTGGAATTAAATGAATACCTAATCACATGAAGGCGCTGCAGCCAATCTATACAGGTTGGTCTCCAAGTCATAATTAGGATTGGCATGCCTACTTTCCAAATATGGCTTGATGTACGGCAAGCGGAGTGATGTTGGAGGTGGTAGGAGATAAATATCTTTTTGCATAAAGGTGCTGCAGCCACTTTATACAAGTTTGCCTCCAAGTTACAAAAAGGATTTGGCACACCCATGCTTCAAGTGTGGCGAAGTGTCCTATGGGTGGAGCCTGAATTCAATTTTATTCTATATAAAATATTAACTATATAAATAAAAAATTGGTTTACTTTTGTTTTTATAGTAGAATAATATTAGATATAGATTTTTATTATATATTCTTAGAATATTTACAATTTAAATATATTAAATATCTTTTATAATACTATAACCACAGTTAAATACTAGTTTATCTACTATTATATTCAATAATATATTATGTATTCTTTATGTGAGCCACATATGTTTTGAGAACCTATTTAAGAAATAAAAGTTCTATTTCTAGTTTAAATTATCTAATTTATTAGTTTAATTTATGTATATATATTTTAATTAGTTCCTTATTGACTATTTTATAAAGTTATCTATTATATTTTATCTTTTCACTTATGTAGCTATAGTTTTAAAAAGTCTTTATTATATATATACTTTACTAAAACCTATTAATTTCTAACAATCTGGTCATGTGATAGTCACGATTTTGTGACTGAATCATGGAGATTCAATCGTGATTTAATAGTTTTTATTATGTCGCAACAAAATCTCAACTATTTAGTGATAATTAAATCATTGTTTCGATGATAACATTGTCATCAACTCTTATTAAAAAATAGTGAACAAATCATAACTATATTGTGACAACTTTTAGTTATAAAATAGTGTCAATGTTGTCACTATAATTATTAATAAAATATTGTCATGGCAATATGATTTCAATGTAACTTTAATTAAATTATGATAGAATTATTACAAAATAGTGACAATTTATTAATCAAGTAGTAAAAAAATAGTGACAATATAATGACCATTTATTTATTATAAAGTCACAACCATACAAAAATTAAATATAAAAGCAGAATATTTTTTCCAAAAATTTTTCAAAAATGAATCCAAAAAAAAAATCATCTTTGCGATCTTTCACTAACGATTCTCCCAACAATCTGGTTAACAATACTCTGAGAAGCCACCATCCAACCAACCTGCCATTCAACAGCTATCCAACCAACCTATTATTCAACAGCCATCTGGTCAATCTTCTGTTCAACAGCCATCTGGTCAACCTGCTATTCAACAGCTATCCAGTCAACCTTCTGTTCAATAGCCATCTGGTCAACCTTCTGTTTAACAGCCATTCAGTTAACCTTCTATTTAACAGCCATCTGGCCAACCTTCCATTTAATAACCATCTGATCAATCTTCCATTCAATATTTTGTTTAACATGCCATTCAACAGCCTTCCAGTCATCCTTCCTTCAGTAGCCTTATGTTCAATTTTTCGTTCAGCAGTCATACATTTAACCTTTCATTTAGTAGCTTTATGTTCGATATTTCATTCAGCAGTCTTATATTCAACCTTCTGTTCAGCAGTCCTCCAGTCAATATTCTGTTTAG